GCCAAGCAGCATCATAGGAGCAGAAAGGCTGACGTTTCGGGCCTAGACCTTTGGGTCTGTTTACCCCTGCTGTATTTGAGGAGACACACATATGATTCCCACTACTGGCAAGGTCAAGATCACGTGCTTAGAATTGATGAGGGGATTCTACGGTTCCCCTTGTGTCTCTCACCATGTGTCTCACTGGATACGTTTGATTTGGGGCATGAGAACTGAAAAACTTGCATTTATATAGCCACTGTCATTACCTCAGGACATCCTAAAGAGCTTGGCAAAGAAGTACATGTGATGCGCAGTCACTATGGTAATGTAGGAAGCGTTATAATTTGCTACTGAATGGCAATTCATCATATTGCTATTTTAATCTAATGCAGTCTTTCATTTTCATTGAAGGCAGACGCTGTGTTGTCAACTCATAGATGTATCTGAAATCTCTGCTCACCCAGAACAATGCCTAACTTTCATTTAACATACACTCCCTCTTTGTTCTCAATTTGGTTGTTTTGTGTTCATCCACAGTGAGCTGGATCTACCATACTATCCAGCCAGTGTGCAGAGCAAAGTCTTTCTGAAAATGATGACATTTTTTCTTGGCACCCTCATGTAAACTAGTAAAACTGCAGTCATGGTGACTGGTTATTGACATTATTCTGAGGATCTACATTGCGCCTTACCAATGGTCCTTGAAAACAGTCAGCTAGCAAAAGCATTAACTGAATGTAGAACTTCAGGAGGATAGTCTCTAGCTGGAGATCATGATCTGGGCATGGAAAAGGCTTACAATGTTAAGGAGAATTATTGGAGCCAAATGTCACCTTTGTTTGTGTCATCATTCTGAAAGGAATTTTTGTTTTAAGAAAGTCAACATGCAAATAAGCCAAGTACCCAGTTATTGACACATGATCACAGGCTCTCTGCACTGTAGCACTCATGGCATAGGCTGTATCTGGATTGTATATATATTCCGCATTGTATATATTAGTTTACTATTAATAAACCAACAAGAGTTCTTCATGCAAACCAAATCGGCGTGCTTCAATTGTGTTACATTTAAATAACACAAGTATATTATTCTTCTCTTCTGTACCATAGAGGGCGGAGGAGGCCAAATCACTGAATATATTCAAGCAAGAGATAGGTAATTTTTCAGATTTTAAAGGCATAGGGAGAAAACAGGAAAACGGTGCACTCAAGTTCGAACAACAAGTAAAATAGCCACTGCATCCAGGATCACTGCAGTGGCTGTATATAATCCCAGGACAGGATCTGGGACTTGGCTCAATCGCACATTAAGCTTTTAAAGGGATATCATGCCAAACATAATAACCTTCACTAATTGCTAATAGTAACTTGGAAAAGGGAATCTGATTACTATTTGAGGGGAAGGAATTGATAAGAATATATGGAAAAAGCAGAGAAGTGACATTAATTGGAAGACTATTCAAAACAGCATGGATTTGATGGACCAAATGGCCTCCCTCTCAGGGGCTTTTTAAAAGGAGAGCTACTGGGAAAGAGTAAAGCAGTGGAGTTGCAGTTGGAGAGAATAGTCACAGGCAAGATGGGCTGAATGACCTCATTCTTTGCTGTAGTCCATGCTGTGTTTTTAAATGCATCCGTGCAGAAATACAATTACAGAAGAGTGAGAGGATGAAATGAAGAAAGGGAGATAGAAAAAGAAAGCGGTCAGTTGGTAAAACCCAGTATAGAGTTTCGGTTGTAATTACATTCCCGTTGTAGCAAAAAACAAACCTTTCTCCGCCATTATCATGACCTAGCTTTTACATTACCAAAACATTCAAGTAGCAATCACTAATTCCTTCTTTTCTTTGGGGAAATATTTCCATTTTATCTGCTGCCTTGACTGATCTGATTACTGTTGCCATTTGTTTTGTAGAGTTACTCTCTCATTATTTATTCTTTGTGGTGGCTTGGCTCTGTAGAATCTCAACTTCGGTCCTTCGCTTCTAATTCTGATCCTTTGCTTTTGTGCTTTAAACAGCAATGGAAATCAGCTCATGCTTTAAACCCAATTCTAACTGGAAAATTGTTGAGGGACTAGGAATCTAGCCCTGTAGATTGAATGGAGCTGGTGTTATATTTTGAGTTTGCCAGTTCAATCGTGCAATAAGGATTGGAAAATAACAATGCATGTTCATTATTTAAGATAGGACTGAAAACAGAATTTTCACCGGAAGGCTATCTAGACACATCTGATGCGTAGTACTGTCAATCTCTTCTGTCTACAGGATATTGGAATTGGACAGTGGTCTTCATGGTGAACAGTAATGGACGGTGGTTTAAGATTAGCCCCTTTAAAGGAATCTCTACACCACACCAACACCCTGCGAAAGCAGGAGAATCTCAAAATGACATGCAGAGTGCTTCCAGCTGCTTCAGATGCCTCCTGCATCATTTTAAATGCCTAAATGCTCTGCAATCATTCCAGTTTCCCAGAATTCGGCATTGAATCAACCTTCTGGATGATTTTGAAATGCAGTCATTGTTGTCAGAAACATGGCACATAATTTTCATGCAGCTAACCCCCACAGAGAAATAACGGGGGCCAGTTAATCAGTCTTTGTGCTGTCGATTGAAGGATTAATATTTGTTAGGACACTGTAGGACACTCTCTACCAAGAGGAAGGCTCAACAACCAATCACATTGCAGATTTCTCACAGGGAACAAACTGGAAAGTAAAGCGCACAAAATGTTCATAACTTCTTTAATCATTTTAATAAGACCAAAGTAAAGATTGGGACATTTAAGTAGGACTAGGATAGAAGATCAAATACCACAAGCTAACGTTTTAAAAAATTATTTGAAAGATCTGTGCATTTTTTAATCTTAATAGAGAAATTCGATATTCTCAGAATATAAAATTAAATTTTCAGTACCAGAGAAGTTGTTCATAAGGAATTATGATTTAGTACATTGTTAAAAACCTTGCTCCACCTCATTTAACAAGATGCAGCTCTTTCAGGCTTTTGCCGTGAGATCAGAAAACAAAGATTTCTGAAGATTTCCATTTGGAAGGACATCAGCCGCCCTTCCTTTTGAAGCAGGGAATCACTGACATAAACCTCTGCATTTCCACATGCAGTTGTGCACATGCAGATGCACAGGAGTTACTGTCAATTTCTCAATTCTGATGACTGTAAACGTTGACAGTTCCTCTGCCAATATAAACGCAAAATCCAGGGGCTGACATTTCTTTGTTCCCCTGGGGCTGATCAGGAGAACCCCAAAGGAATATTCTGCTGAAATCGTGATGATTGCTATCAGCACAAATATATATTACCACCCATCACACAGGTGTGACATTCAAAGTTGGCTCCTTGAACAATTATTCCTGACAGTCTTGTCAACGCCTGCTGTCAGACATAAAATATATTCTCTACTTTAGGACTTGGGAACACTTCTTTCAAAAGGAAATCAATACACACAATTACAAGCAGCTCTCTGTTGCTGACCTCATGGCTCTTTTCTCCTTAGCATTCGTATTGCTCTACATCAGCTCCTTCAAGCATTAAATTGCAGACTAAGTCACTGTCCCATTTTCTCTAAATCACGAATGTTGTGAAGATAAGCAAAGCATTCCTCACACACATTTGGATTTTCAGTGGCTCAGATTTCACCACCAGTAGGGAAGCAACAACGCTCCATCTCTGTGGCCCGGATTTCCCTTTTCCTTCTGCCAATTGGAATCTGCCGCCAGGTCAAAGGAAGATCCAGGTGTCCAGCAACAGCAATGTCATCAAGCAGGGTTAGCCAATCGCACAGGTACGTTCTCACAGTCAGCCAACCAGTCAGTTAACATCATGACGCCAAGTTTCACCTTTTAATTCTTACATTTTACAGATGGCAGAATAAATGATTGACACATGCACATAAGATTTAGGGAGAAGCTAAAAGATCATATACAATCAGAAAAATTTAAATTATATGGGATTTATCATAATTTAGAAATTTAGCATTCAACAGATAGAGTTTTCAGGATCATCGCAGGTGGCTTTCAGTAGTAATGAAATTAACACACAGTTACAAATCCATTTACAGCTCACTGAAAAAGATGTAGCTGTTTCAATGATTTTACGATTCTGAAAAAGAGTTATGCTGGACTCAAAATGCTAACTATGTTTCTCTTTCCATAGACATCTCTGCTGAGTTTTTCCAACAATTCCTGTTATTTTTAACTCAGGTCTCCAGCATCCATAGTTCTTTTTTCATTTATTCATTCACAGGATGAGGGCATTGCCGACCAAGCAGCATTTGTTGCCCGTCCCTAATTGCCCAGAGGGCAGTTCAAATTCAACCACATTGCTGTGGGTCTGGAGTCACATGTAGGCCAGACCAGGTAAGGATGGCAGTTTCCTTCCCTAAAGAGCATTAGTGAATCAGATGGGTTTTTTCCTGACAATTGACAATGGATTCATGGTCATCATTAGATTCTTAATTCCAGATATTTTATGGAATCTGCCATCTGCTGTGGCGGGATTTGAACCCAGGTCCCCAGGATGTTATCTGGCTCTCTGGATTAACAGTCCAGCAATAATACCACTAGGCCATTGCCTTCACCCTAGTGTCTAGATTCTGACTAAATGTGAGAACAAGTAATGGAAAGAAACAAGTTATGCACTCTGAAGAACTTGCTGAAAATCTTTCATCAAATGCCTAAAGTAGAAATGGCATTTTACAGCTTTCTTTTTTTTAAATTTAGTTTTGGATTTAATTCTGTACAGGTGAAGTTGCTTTCGTTAATACGATACTGTGATTTCAAGTGATTCTGCCAATAGTGTGGTGATGGGACACCATTAACTGCAAGCACAATTAATCAAGGCCATCATCAGTGCTTAACTGCTGCTGCAGTGGTCTGCAGTTGCTCCTCAAAGTAGAGAAGTTGGTCAACTTCAAAACAGTCACTTGGCTTGGCTCCCAACTTCTCCAGATGTCCCTTGACCTCTGCCTCTTTGATGCCATGCCTCCTTGCCACCTTCAGGTAATCGTAAACCCTTTGAAACACATCTGCTTCCAGTTTCTGAGTGGCTGCCCTAAAACACAAAATAAACACCAATTATTAAATTACTGAAGCCCCGGTGCCATGTGACAGGTGTTTACAGAGCAGACAGATGAAGAGATGTAAGAAGTTAAAATATTTAACCTCAACAGAAGGGGATGTATCAAGTGCACCCTGGATAAGGTAGACTGCCATACATCTCTTGGGAATGATCGTTTTCTTCAAAGCTCAGTGAAATCACTTGTGGACTCATCCTTCATCAAACAGAATGGCGAAGATTTCATAAAGAAGGAGGCCATTCAGCCCATTGTCACTTGCCCAGAGGAGTGCAGCTCCAACAATACTCAATGCAGAACAATGCAACTTGCTTCATTCGCACCACATCCACAAACAGTCACTCCCTCCACCATCAACACTCTGTAGCAACAGTGTGCACAAGCTATACCACTGCTACTTCATATTCTTTCATCACTAATTCATATCCACTCCCATATTACGATTCAGCCAACAAATCTTCATTGAAATTTGAAAGGTTTTTGGTAAGCATTTGCCAAAGTGTGACTTTCTTTAACCACAGACAATCCTAAGAGGTATGGAGTGCTATTGAGGAGAAATGCTATTCTGTGGAATTTCTGCTTCTCAGTGTTAGTTTATCAGTTAACACTGCTTGCTCGAAAAAAGTGCACTCATATAATGTTCAATTCACCTTTTAATCTTGTAAGATGAATTCTCCTACAGTAGCCTTTCAGTATTAACCTTTATCTTATTTACAGAGTAATTTGAATAATTTAAAATATCTCTGCTCTATTGCAACTTATCCATTAGCACTTATCCACTAGCTCTCCAGAAAATCACCCAAATCTCTTAGACAGCACCTTCCAAACTGATCACACTGCCACCTAGGCAGCAGATACACAGGAACACCACCACCTACATGTTCTCCCTCCAAGCTACACACCATCTTGACTTGGAAATATTTCGCCGTTCCTTCAGTGCCGTTGGGTCAATCTCCTGGAATTCTCTCTCTAACAACATTGTAGGTGTTCCTACACCAAATGGGCTGCAGAGGTTCAAGAAGGCAGCTCCCCACTGCCTTCTCCAGGGTAACTAGAGGCAGGCAATAAATGAGAGGTCCAGCACATGTTCTGCCCAGCCAGCAACACCCATGCTGCATGAATGAATCAGAAAGAAGTTAGTGTGTGTTGCCATGACAATTGTGATTTAGAATTCTTGTTTGTACATTGGAGAGACGGCTAGCCTTGTATCTGCTGATAGTACATTACCTGTAATGCAGGCACCTTATCTGCTGCCAGGCTGTGGGATGTTTTGCAAACTCTTCTGATAACACGATTATACATTATACAATCCTCTGTTAGTACATCTCTCAGCAGTAGAAACTATTCCCTTTCCTCACTGTCACACACATGACTGCTAAGATCACTGCTGCATCATTACTGCCTATCACTATCTTCTATCCATTCCTATTCTACTATGCACTCAACAAATCTGTATCAAAATGTGATTTGGATTACTTCCTGGTGTATCCAGGTAGTAATGGACTGACTCATGGCAAAAAGTCCTCATGTAACATCTTCTTCTGTTTCTTTCTTGAAAGGTCTTTGGTAAGTATTTGCCAAAGTGTGACTTTCTCTAAGCACAGGCAATCCAAAGAAGTCTACCTCAGCTTGAACAGAGGAACAAACTGTTAGTGTTAATCTAATCCACACGCCAGACCTCTCGCCAGCTGAGCTAATCAACCCCACCCTCTTAAACAGAAACAGAAGTTGCTGGAAAAGTTCAGCAGGTCTGGCAGCATCTGTGAAGGAAAAAATAGAGTTAACATTTCGGATCCGGTGACCCTCCCTCAGGACTTAACCCTCCCACCCTCTTAAACATTTGATGCAAATACGAGCTATGGCCTACAGCAACCTGCAATCTACAGGGAGACTCATAAATACTAAACTCAACAAGCCTCTGGGTAATGGAAATGTTTCAATCAGTCAGCTTCATTAGAGGTCAAATCCATCTCTTGCAATTACAATCACATCCTTGCGATAGCAACACTTCCTCATCACTGCCTCTTTTTTTCTCTTTTGAACTCAAAGAAAATGAGATGCTAATGGATAAGCTGCAATAGAAGAAAGATATTTTAAATTATTCAAATTACTCTGTAAATAAGATACAGGTTAATGTTGAAAGGCTGCTATTGTGGAATTTATCTTACAGGATTAAAATGTGAATTGATGATAATATGAATGTACATCTTTCGAGTAAGCAGTGCTAACAGATAAGCCAACACTGAGAAGCAGAAATTCCACAGAACAGCATTTCTGTTCAATAGTACTCCATGCAGATTCTAATGTTGTGTGGCTAGCAGCATTTCACAAGAACAGGGGTAAAGAGACACCAGATCCAACGGCACTGAGTTTTCACACTGGGTCTGCATAGCACATGGTGGTGTTGAACTAAAACCAGAGACTGCATACAAAAGGGATCAAAATGTTAGCCTGTAGAATTTTGTCTTGAAAGATCTGCACCTAGTGAAAGGAGTGGGAAATGACGGCTTTTCTCAATGGCACCTCAGGTTCAGATCAATGAATTTGGATTGGGTTGGAAGAATATTAACAACAAGAGATTGCTTGCTCAACATCAGTTCACTATTGTCTCGAGGAATTAAACCTTTTCTTTCTCATAAGTTAATACTGGCGAATCCTAATCGAACCTGCCATAAATAATTTGTAATATGTCGTTTTATTATTAAAGATCCTTGATCGAGATTTAAACATAGCTATAAAGGTTTTTACTACACTCACTGCAGCCATTTGCAACATTGGTTTTTAAGTTGTGTAATTTTGCACAATGTATAGATTGAAATAGGAATCCAAATCATGTTACAATTTTATTTTCCTGCAATAATTGTTTATAAAAAGTTTGTTGCTAACGTTGAACTCCCTCTCCACCCATTCCCAATCACTGATGAATCAACACCAATTCCAATCCTAATCCCAACTGCATTCAACTCCTGAACCCAGGAGGGGACACAGCCTTTAAAAATATCCACGATGTGCAGGAAGGGAGGTGGCTACTGTATATGTACCAGCTTATGGTTAGGGTAGTTTAGTGCTAACATCATCTTTCATTTACTTGAGTTAAGAACCTAATTGGTAAAGAAAACACTAATGAGTCTTAACAAGAAGATTAAAATAGGACACAGTTTATTGCATGAGAGCAATCATGTAGAAGTTATATTAGTAAGTTCAATATTGTTGGTAAAACAATCAGGAGTGCTGACTCCTCAAAGCCTGTCCACCATCTACAAGGCACAAGTCAGGAGTGTGATGGAATACTCCCCACTTACCCTGGATGGGTGCAGCTCCAACATCACTCAAGAAGCTTGACACCATCCAGGACGAAGCAGCCCGCTTGATTGGCACCACATCCACAAGCACCCACTCCCTCCACCACCGACGCTCAGTAGCAGCTGTGTGTACTATCTACAAGATGCACTGCAGAAATTCACCAAAGATCCTCAGACAGCACCTTCCAAACCCACAACCACTTCCATTTAGAAGGACAAGGGCAGCAGATACGTGGGAACACCACCCCCTTCAAGTTCCACTCCAAGCCACTCACCATCCTGACTTGGAAATATATCGCCGTTCCTTCACTGTCGCTGGGTCGAAATCCTGGAATTCCTTCCCTGATGGCATTGTGGGTCAACCCACAGCAAGAGGACTGCAGCAGTTCAAGAAGGCAGCTCACCACCACCTTCTCAAGGGCAACTAGGGATGGGCAAGAAATGCTGACCAGCCAGCGACGCCCAAATCCCACAAAATGAATAGAAAAAAAAAGATATAGGTCTTCACACACGAAGATCCTACTAGATTCTGCCTTTCTTCACTCAATCCTTATACATAAAAAAATCAAAGAACCCCTACAAGTAGGTCATTTGGCCCATCAAGTCCACATCAAAACTCCGAAGAGCATCCCACTCAGAACCCCCACTATCCCTGCATTTCTCATGGCTAATCCACCTAGTCTGCATATCTCTGGACTGTGGGAGGAAACCCATGCAGACACAGGGAGAATGTGCAAACTCCACACAGACAGTCACCTGAGGGTGGAATCGAACCCAAGTCCCTGGTGCTATGAAGCAGCAGTGCAAACCACTGTGCCACCCAATGAAATTATTAGATTGGACAGCGTTTATTGCAGCCTCTAATATTAACCCTTTCAGAACCATTACCTTACACAACGTTGGTGAGGAACTTTAAAGAGACAGAGGTGCCCAAAAAGCAATTTTCTTTGATGAGGTCTAAACACTTGGAGGCTTTCACTGGGGTCTCTATTGCCATTCAGACAAATGCACGGAATGTCCAATGCCTAATCCTGCCCAACACTCTACCACAGAGGGAGGTTCCAGAGAGCAACCTAAGAGCTGTCTATGGGCATGACAATAAGGAAAGGACAGCCACAGGCTATCCTAGTATGGGCAGGCAAACGGTGAGGAGAAGGGATCAAGATCAGGTGAGTAAGGCAGCGGCTGAGTAGATCCGTCCTGCTGCAGTGATCCTGGCTGACTTCAGCTACCATCACAAAGTCAACTTCAGCTCACCATGCTGCAAACATGTTACATGCCGCGCTGGGGGCTTTCCTCCAACCCACAGACCTAGGAGTTAAAGACAAGGATTTGCTGACAGGGCTGAACACAGACAGGAACACTCATTTCAATAGGTAGAGGCAGGAATGACAACCCTTGACACCGAGGCTGCATTCAATCAAGTGTGGCATCAAGGAGCCCTGGCAGAACTGGAATCAATGGACATCAGGGGACAAACTCTCTGCTGGTTGGAGTCATACCTGGCACATAGGGAGATGGCTATGGGTGTTGAACATCAGTCATCTCAGCTCCAGGACATCTCTACAGAAGTTCCTCAGGGTAAAGTCCTAGGCCTAATCATCTTCGGCTGCTTCATCAATGGCCTTCCCTCCATCATAAGGTCAGGAGTGGGGATGTTTGCCGACAATATTCAG